TTTTCTGTCACGGGAACGACTTCGTTTCGTAACCGTAACGGTGTAATTTATTATAAATAGTCCTAATTAACGTGAAGAAATCGTAGCGTGAAAATGTGAAAAAAAACTCTAATTTAATTATCCCCCGACCTTACTTCTCTCGTAACTTTGTACTTGGTTCCTAATTTATTCTTACATTATTTTTTTTTTCCTTTAATTATTATTTACCACGGTTATTATTATTAACTTACTAATTTACGATCATTAAGTTGCGATCATTTAATTATTCTCCTTTTATTATTATTATTGTCGAATCACGATTAATCAGTTTAATTCCTAATGCTATCGCGTATTATTTGGTTAACACAATATCTTTTAAGGACACGCACTTATTATTTATAAACGAACGAACGAACGAATGAATGAACGAACGAAAGAGAAAAAAAGGAGTTATATTTAAAAAAAAAAAAAGTGGGAAAAAGCGAGGAGAAATAACACGCAATTTCTGACGCGAGTGTGCCTGTGAAAACCACCCGATGAAAAGCTTACGTTCCAATACATCGTAAGCCATTCGTGGTACCTGCGTTGTTCTTCAATCGTAAAAGCTATTTTTCTATATTTCGTTCCGCTCAACACACACATTTTCTTCTATAAATACGATATAGTAATTTGTACAATTGAACCATCAGTCACTGCATCAATGTTTAAAATGTCTTCTCCATTAGTTCTAAATTTCCAATAGTTCTAACAAATGTTCGAATAACTTGCGCCGATCGTAATCGGTTTTCCCTTAATTTTTGCAAATAATCGTGTCAATTTCTACTATAGTCACTCGAACCTAATGACCCGAATGATCGAGCAGTTAATTAATTTAACCGATTGTTGAACAAAGAGGACCTTCGAAGCATTTCATAAGGGATCGTAAGGGCAAAGAATTCAGATAGGTAGACTTCGATTATCAGCTTCTAAAGGTTAAAATATCGTCGCGACCGAACAATTGCTCGAGACAGTATCGTTCATATATTCATGTATATTTTTTTCTATCTGATCAATCATCAAGGGAGAACCTACTTTTAATTTTTGTCAAGAGATCGTCGAAAAATGGAAATAATATTAGTAAATCATAAGAGAGAGAATCCACTCGTCGAGAGCAATGACTCGGCCTCGTGACTTAGCGATCGTTTAAGCATAGACAGTGGTGGCATTTTAGTACATCAGACAGCGCCGTGTATCGCGAAGATTAAGATCAAGACGAAGAAGAGAACCGAAAGGAGGGAAAGAACAAGAAAAAAAGCAGACTCGAGAAGGATACGTGTATATTCGATGGAGGAAAAAAAGAGAAAGAAAAACAGCTAAAAGACGCGAAGAAATTTCAGTGAACTTTCCTTTTCGGGCCGGCTCGGTCAGAGGTCTTATCCTAGAAGAGAGATCTCACGGGAGGTGGTTTGGTTCTACTAACCAGTCGATCGGAACCGACTCAAGAACACTTGAATCGCGAAATTCACGGTGAAGCGAGATCGTTCCGATCGACGCCCCCGCGACGACCGCTCGCCGACCCCCGGATTGTATTCTCTTCTTTCCTTTGTTTTCTCTTGTTTGCTTCTTGCTTTTCCATTTTCCGTTTCTTCTTAATTTTCTGTTTTTCCTTTATTTTTATTAAGATTTTTTTTAATTTCCGGACGGAAATCTTCGCGCTCGATGGACACGCGGAAGGTCTCCAAAGCGAAATTCGTTTCTTTTTTTTCGTGAACTGCGTGCGCTTTATGACGGCGGATGGTAGGTACCCCGTCCGACATACCAAATCTACGTACTTTCTGTCGCGATATATGCTGTTCGTTGTAAATGTACCAAAGACAGTGTCGATTAACTGACAAAATAAAGGTAGTTTATTTATACGAAATGAACGAGAAAGAAAGATAGGAAGGTGGACAAGGCGAGAAAAAGAGAAAGAGAGGGAAAATTGGTGAAAGAAAGGAGCGGCGTGCGCGCTCTCCTTCGATAACAGTCGAAAGATGAGAACGATGAACAAATATAAACGGGGATTATATATGAGAGTTATCTATCCAAAGGAAAAAAATGCTGCTAAAGTGTCATTTAGCTAGATGAGATTGATCACTGGATCCGCAATGTTGCATCGAAACATTGTTATTATTTTTGTAAAGAAACCATGTACATGTATTAACTTAGCGTGCTCTGCGTATGGAAGCTTACGATATGTTGATTATTATTATTATTATTATTGCTATTATTATTTCTATTATTATTATTTCTATTATTATTATTATTATTATTGCTATTATTATTATTATTATTATTATTATTATTATTATTAT